CATAATCTCTTAAGATTAATCTTTCTTCTGGCCTCAGAACAGATGCAACTTTCATGGAAGTGGTAGGGCAGGCATGTAAGAAAATAAGAGTATGGCAGTACAACAGTGATATTTTAAAACTGGGCAAGGCTGCACTCTGTAGAAAATATCCGTAACGTCTTCCACAACTTTAAGGTGTTTTCTAAAGCCCATGGAAGAGTTGCTGTGTGTTTGGATTTAATTCTTAAGATTTGTTTTCACTATTGGAAAAAACTTGAAGAAATCTGATGTAAAAGAAGAAATCTGGTGTAAAAGTTTTTTTTTTTCCAGAGGGGACCTTATCATTCTATACAACTACCTGAAAGAAGGTTGTAGTGAGGTGAGTGTCAGTCTCTTCTCCCAAGTAACAAGTAATGTGGCAAGAGGAAATGGCCTCAAGTTGCATGAGGGGAGATTTAGATTGGATATTAGGAAAAATGTCTTGGCTGAAAGAATGGTCAAGCATTGGAACAGGCTGCCCAGGAAAGTGGTGGAGTCACCATCCCTGGAGGTATTTAAGAGATATGTAGATGTGGTGCTTAGGGGCATGGTTTAAGGTACACTTGGCAGTGTTAGGCTGATGGCAGGACTTGATGCTCTTAAAGGTCTTTTCCAACCTAAATGATTCTGCGATTTTCTTATACAGAGCACCATGCCCTGAAACTCGTACCCCAGCACTGAATGATGGACCTTAATGAAGAGTATGGAAATTAAATAAATATTTACTTACAGTGTCCCTAAAGGAGGTATTGTTGGGCTATGATTGTAGCTCTTATCTAGAGTAGGGGAGAGGAAGAAGTGACACAGTGCTGAGACAACATTAAAGTTTTGGGATAAGGCAACAAATATGTGCAAACCACAGAGAGAATCTGCCAGAACTGTGAAGTCCAGGTGCTCTTTCTGTCTTGAGTTCTTACATCTGCATAATACAGAAGACTACCAGTTGCAGCTTTTTTTTTAACATATGCTCTCAACTCAATTTGTGTGGGAAAGAATAAGCAGCCTAGCAAGGAAGAAAACATTGATGTAAATTCAATAATGGCTTGATTACATTTTACTGACTTCACAAAGGTGATGACAGCTGTGATTGCAGTTTCAGCATAGATAGCATTTCAGTCACCAGCTGTCCACTCAACTGTGGTGTGTGGCTGCTACAGCAGTAGCTTTAACCAAACTGGGAAGGAAATAGCAGAATCCTGTGGAAACTATCACAAATCATTGCTTTTTCTAGTATCTCTTGCAATACAGGGAAACTAGTAATTTGGGCCATGTATCTGGAAATCAAGTAATTTCTTTTTTCCCTCTATAAAAGCTCATAGGAGTCTGAACAAACAATGAACAACAGTGCATTAGACACAGACATGCAATATTACAGTTCCACCTGTTCAGATTCAGGTAAATTAGACTGAGATTAACCAGATTTATTTATTTTGTTTTCAATCTGGAGGTCTTCTGGTTAAACAGGCTGAAGAGACTTGTTAAATGGCCATTAGCATGGGGAGAGATTTGACATGACAGACTACACAACCACAGAGCAAGTGTTTTTTGTCCATTCAAATCATATCTCTGGATGACCTTGAGAAGCAGATTAAGCTAATATAATTTATCTTTCAAAATAGCCTTAATTTTAAAACTTAACAAGAACATTGTTACTTTTACATGTCAAATATATGGTTAAAGTTGCTACTGACACTTTGCAAAGAATTTTTACTGTGCTCTTGATAAGAGTAAACCAATGTAAGGAGTCTTGTTTTTTGAAAAAAAAAACTTTGCCAGCCTCTGGAATTGAGCTGGCAGAACAGTTATATTGTGGCAGTCCTAATCATTGGAATGCAAAATAGCATGGAATGGAGGCCTTAGAGTAACTAAATCATGTATGTACTATGTGGTTGTTAAACTAGCTTCAGGTGAGATAAAAGCTCCTTTTCATGCTTCACTCTGATTTATGAGCCCTTTATTGCCACAATGTTCACAACATTTATGTTATGAAATCCTACTTGAATACAACAAAGTCTTGAGAAAATTGTGCATAGTTTTTTTGTCTACTTTTAATTTTGGAAGAAAGCAGTGTTAGGTTTGGATGAACAAATGAGCTCATATACTTAGGGATTTTTTTCTTATCATAGAACTTTTTTTCTGTAATTATCAACACATGGCCACAGCAAACTGCTCATAGTAAACTACTGTCAGGCAGTATGCCCATGAAACGTCCTTCCCTTTTATCCCAAATCTACTATCCTTTCAGAAGCTTGAATAAAAAGTTCAACTTTGCAGGAAGCCCTCAAAATTAAATAACCTGGCCTGAACTCATTGTTAACACCTTAAGAAATGTGTTTAAACTCGGATATTATTTTTTGTCTCCTTTTTAAAAGTCGGGGGGGTTATGGCTTCAAATCTGGAATTTTTTTAAGACACTTACTGTGACTAATTAAATACTATCTTAGTTAAACAATGTCTTGTTTAAATATATCTTTTTCAAGTTTGTAACTCTTTTCCTCTTAGTGTGAGAAAATTTTCCTCATAGTATGAGAAAACAGTATTTTAAGAGACACAGAATGTTTTCATGGAGTATAGAAGACCTTGCCTAATTGGGAAAAGCCTAAATTAAGTATTCCTCATACATAAGCAAATAAGAAATGGATACCACTTCCATGCCATTTCCATATCTTGAAGGGATAGTAGTAAATAGGAATGTACGTCTTCCTTTCAAGATAGAAAAACTGTTGATCATGAATGGAAGTCAGTTTCAGTTAATATAGCTGAATTTTAAATATGCTGCAGGGAACAGTTATCATAACTTAATTTTAGAACTTGCTGTCAGCCTTTATTGTATCATTGTCTGTTAGATAGCCAGCCAGTGTGCTGACTGTGCCATCTGTTTTCCCTGCAGGGCATGGGGAGAAGAAAAATTAATAACTTAACAATCCAAAACACTGAATAGTACTTGAATCAGATACACAAGAATGGTATAAAACTAACTAAAAGGATATTAACTTTGGAAGAGTAATCTTTACAGAAGCTCTCTGAAATGTCATCTATCTTGCCTACTCTAGCCAGTTTCATCATGAATACGGACATCTCAGACCATCCCTGGTCCAAGGACTGATTTAAACCAGGTCTCTTGGGGCCACTTTTCATTCAATTTGATTCTAGTATATGCAGAGCTGGGACTTCTAGGAACACTTTCAATTATTTAAATGATGTGATCATTTTTTTAAAGGTGGAAGGCTTGCATCAAATTTTGCTGTGAAGTACTGTGCACAGTGTTTAATATTGCAGACATTACAGGATGGTCTACTTGTGGCTGCCTGTGCTTGTTCCAGGGGCAACACACTTTCATGGGGATCAGTATAGACAAATCAATAAAGATAACCTTCAAATGCGAGCATTTCAGTCAGGACAAACAGCAGTCACAAAAAGAAGAGAGTATTGCCTTGAAATCTGTCACCCTAACTTTGGCTCCCCTGTCATTTTTATTTGCTTCTTTTGCATCATGCTGTTTGTCTTAAGGAAAATCTGCAGACTGGTATCTCTTGGGGAGTTAACTCAAGCTTTACTCAGGGTCTGTTGCAACTGGAGTTCACACATTGCCCGTCAGCCTTATCAGAGCCATAGCAATGGCTTCTAAGAAAAGCGGAGCTGCTGACCCTTGCTGTATATTCCACTGTGGTGGAAGAAAATAAGAAGTCAGAGAAGAGAGGTGAAGTTCATACAAGTATTGTTCTATGAGGGCTGTTTTGTGACCTCTATTTGTAAATGTGCTGTGGAACATCCCTCATCCCAAATTATTCTTCCTAAGCCACATCAAAACTGGACTATCAGTGGACAAAGCTTCTACAAGAGAGTATGGGACTGCTGTAGGGGCTGCCTGCTGCTCAAGCATGAGGGGAAGAGACCAGTGGTGGTTGTGATTCTAGGCATATGGGATGTCAAACTTTTTTCTCTTGGCTTCCTTACCAGATTTGAGGTAACTGCTAACTGCATAGCGGCTCTGTAAGCTGTAAGAAAAAGTGCTGGAAATCAGATGTTCCCTATTGGCAGTGCTCTTTTAGTCCCTAAGCACTAGGTCTTAGTTGGAACTCCTGCATGTGTGAGAACTGTGGACCCAAGGGAAGGGGAACGAGCCTGTGGAAGAACAGAATCTGCTGGGTTCCAGGGGTTAGTCCAGGGATATGACGCCTGTTTTTTTCTGAGTTCCAACATTTCACAATACCCAAAAAGTTTTAGTGCTGTGTTTTTCTGGTGAGGGGAGGGTGAGAACTGCATCCTGAAAGATTTAAATAGCTTGACCTGTCTCAGAACTGATAATTACCAGATTTCTGCAAGCTAAATGGAGGAAAATTTTACTGCAGAGTGGAAAAACATGATAGCACTGCTCATGAAAATACTGGGAAGTTAAATAGCCTCTGGCTAAAAACTGCTGAGTTCTGCAATGGCTGGCTTGTAAAACAGTAAAACAAGAAGCTTTAAGAACATGGACAAGCAATTACCTTGCGCTCAGACCTCATAAGATAATAAAAATACTAATGGAAAGGTTACTTGAATTGCACCTTTCTCCTGGGCCTTTCTGAAGCCCCAGGATGGGGTAAGTCCCTAAGAAAGGCACGTTGCCGGCACCCGAGAGCCATTCCCCGCGGCTGGAGCCGAAGACCTTCCCGCCACCCGCCCCGTCTCCCTCCGCCGCTCCCTCGCCACACGCGCAGTGCCCCGGCGAGAACGTGCGGCTGCGCCACGTGGCCCCGCCCCCCCGGGGCGAGGCGCGCCCCTATTGGCCCCGTCCCACGCGTGCCGGCGCTGTTGTGACACGTGAGGGCGGCGCACGTGGGGACGTTATGTAAAGAGCAGGGGAAGGGGTGGGGCCCGGACGCGCACGCGCGCGTTCGCCAGCGGGGCGGCGCGCACGCGGGCTGTCGCGCGAGGGGCGGCGGTCGGGCGCGCTCTCGCGCGCGGAGAGCAGAGGCCCCGCCGCCGCCAGAGCGACAATGAAGCAGCAGCAAGCAGCAACAGCAACCGCCGCAGCCCAGGCCCACGGCCCCGGCCCCGGCCCTCGGTCCCTCAGCCCCCACAAGCAGCCCACCGCCCTTTTTCAGGCCGGCTCGGGGGTCCCAGGCCTTCCTCAGCAAGCTGTCGGGCTCTGCTGGTGCGAGAACCCCCAGCAACCGGCATCATCAACCTGGAGCCAGGTCTGGCCGACAACCCATCCCCCCCCTCCTTCCCGCCGGCGTGCTGGCGGCGAGCCCTGCCCGTCACCCTCGCTTTTTACTCCGGCGGGCACCGGGCCCTGCTGGGTGCCGCGGGCCCTCGGCTCGGGTCTCAGTCCTTAACGTGCGCTTGGGCGGGAGGGAGGAAAGCCAAGAGAATACAGGCCGCCATGCCTGCGTTTCAGGTTCCCTCTCGGCCGCGGCCGGGCTGCTGGTCTGGGCCTTGTCTTAGGACGCGGGAGCGGCGAGCGCGGGGTGCCCGCCCCCGGGAGCGGCGCTGTCCCCACGCCGCTGCCGGGGGGGAGCCGCTCGTTCAGCCGGCCCCGACTCGAGCAGGCCGGGGCTTCCCCGGGCGGCTGGGCGGCTCGGAGGGGAGGGCCGGGGCCTGGCAGTGGCGAGGCACTCTTCTAACTCGTTTTGGGGCGGCTTGTCCACTCCCTGTTTATGGAGCCGTAGAGCGGGGAACGCGGGGCTGCGGGGGGATCTCCCACTGAGAGGCGGTGGGTGCGTCAGTAGCGGGGCTCGCCCTTGGTGAGCCGGGGAGGATGGGGAGAGCGGGGTGTGCCGTCCTCTTGCTGTTCTCCGTGAGCCGCTGACGGCCTCCAGAGGGCTGACCCGCGGGGGGCAGGGAGACGTGATGGGCCGCGGGGAAAGTCTTATTGGGCACCATCTTCTTACACCTTCTTACCGTGGCGAGTTGCTACAGTTAACATCATTAATTCTTGTGCTAAATGCTAAGCACGTATTTTAATAATAACTATTTCATTTTTCTCTATATCCTCTTTTCAAGAAAATCCTGTTCTCAAACTGTGTCAACATCTTCAAATGGTGTTGAGATAAACTCAACCAAGAGCTGCTATTTTAAGTGCTCGAGGAACGATAAAACATCTTAAACATTTTACTGATAATGATTTACTAGTAACTTCAGCCAAAACTTCTCAAAGGGGGTAGCAGGAGGCCTCAATAGATTATGACAGCTTTCCTTTCTTCTGTTGTTTTCTTTTTTTTTTTTGGAAGAGGGGTAATAAGGGCTATATGAAGATTGACGTTATCTACCGTAAGATGTGCTATTTTTGCTGCCTTACACTTTTAATGAACACATTCCAAATTCATTGCTCATGTTTATCTTGAGTAAACACACCAAGACTATTAGGTATCCTTGTTTTATTTTCTTAATTAACAGTAAAGACTAATTGTTTGAAATTCTGCAAGGCTGTTTCTAGAGGGAAGGTCCACTAATAACAGTTGATGTTATTGGCAACGAGCAGTTCTTGTGGGAGTGAAGTATTGGGGTTGCTTGGGATATCTTTTAAAAATGCACTATGTCAATATTATAGGGTACAAAAAGTGTACCAAATGTAACAGGGGAGAGTACAGTTAGTATAATATTTCGCTTTCCTCCTATACCAATCTATATCCTTACAGTGTAAGGCTAAACACCATCTAAAACCAAACAGCCAGATTTTGTCTCCCTGCATACATATCTCAGTGAAGCCACAGTCTGTGTTGTCTATGGAAATACGGGTCAGGAATACCAAATGAAGCACTTGGGAGACTGCTGTATGCTGCAGTCATTGGCACTAAGAGTTGAAAACCATGTTGAGCTGTTACTGATTCAGCTTACAGGCCTTAGCATCTGTACAGCTTTGCTGTAAATGACTGTCAGAGCAACAAGAGCTAGTAGATGTGTTACCCAGATTTTCCTGTCTTAAGCCTGGACAATGTCAAAGGGACAAAGTGAGGCACCACATGGAAGTTGTCACTTGAGCACCTCCACTTGGTGAGTTTCACACAGCATTGGCTGAAATAGTCAATTGCTTTTGCTTCCCTTTTCCCTTCCACTGGTTGTTTCTCAGCAGGAGGTAGGCAGGCAGGCATTACTGGAAGTTTTCATCTTCCTATCTTCCTCTCAGTGTTAAACACATCCAGTGGAGACCATTTATAAAATCCTGTTCCTGATGATCATGGTTTGTCAGGAACAAGCTGTTGTGGTTTAACCCCAACTGGCAACTAAGTACAGCACGGCCGTTTGCTCACTTTCTCGCACCCTGGTTAAAACAATTAAAACCTGTGGGTTGAGATAAGAACTGTTTAATAATTGAAACAAAGTAATTTATAATATACATAATATAATAATATGTTATTAATATATAATAGTAATAAAAAGGACAGAGAGAGAAAATCTAAGAAAAACAAATGATGTGCTGTACAATTGCTCACTACTTGCTGAGCCAATACCCAGCCCATCTGTGAACAGCAGTTGACCCCCCTTCTGGGTAACTCCCCTGGTTTATATACTGGAGATGATGTTCTGTGGTATAGAATATCCCTTTGCCCAGTGTGTGTCAGCTGTTCTGGTGTGGTGGTGCACACATCCACCCTGCTGGGCTCCCTCCCAGCTTCTTGTGCACCTGCTCACTGGCAGAGCTCGGGAAGCTGAAAAGTCCTTGACTTAGGGTAAGCACTGCTCAGCTACAACTAAAACATCAGAGAATAATATTGACATCAATGTTATTTTCTTACTGAATCCAAAACTCAACACTGTGCCAACTACTAAGAAAAAATTATTTCTATCCCTGCTGAAACGAGGACACAAGCCCTTGGATAAGAATCTTCACATGGTCTTATGGTTGGTTCTCTAAGCTTCTTGTGATGATCATAGAACAGCTGGCATTTGAGGATAAGAAAAATGTGACTTATTGAACTAAAGGCTTCTAAGAAGATGGAGTAACAGTGTTGACATTTGTTAAAGATGATAAACTTTTCATTAAATACAGGGTGAGAGTACTGTGGTTGTATAGACACCTAAAGCTTTTAGAAGTTGGTAATTTGCATTTTACCAGTTATTTGCCCTGTAGTTGGTGGGGTGGTCGTTGAAAAACAAAGAGCTGATCTTTCTATTTTAGTCAAAGCCTGTGGATTAAATAAAAGATCAGTCCTTCACAACTGGCATTCCAGAAGGGGTATGTTGCCTTGAGTGGTTACCTTTTTGGTAACTCCAAAACCCAGTGGACATGCTCAGCCCTTTGACAGCTCTATCTGCTCTACGAGTCCTATCAAACTAATCATGCTTTTATAGTGGAAAGCACATGGGACTTTCAGCTGGTTGTTGGTGTTTTTTCCTTCCTCTGGCTCTCTGTTAGATTTCTTACCAAGACTTCAGAACGGTGTACAAAATTGATAGTATTGACCTGTAGTGAAACTGTGATAATTGTTGAGAAACAATTAATTCATATCTTGAGGAAGCAAAAAGTAACAGTGGAGATGTTCCTCTTCAGATACAGATAATGATGTAAATTGATAGTACTCAGTTGCTTTTTGTTTTGGAAAGTTGTAGGCAAGCAGATCAGTAATGTACTGCATGCACAAAAGAAACATTCCTATCTGGTGATTAATTCTAAAAGCCCAGTGTGTTTTCTGCTATGTTTTTTAAGTAGTTTGATATGTGTTTCTCATTTTAGAATGGCAGGAGTTTCTTGGTGTTGGATGAGCAGAGATTCGCAAAAGAGATTCTTCCCAAGTACTTCAAGCACAACAACATGGCAAGCTTTGTCAGACAGCTGAACATGTGTAAGTTCCAGGATTTTTGCATTCTAGCGTAGTTCTAGGTCCTGTACACATTTAGTTTTAATTTCCTTTGAGCAGTGGCCCTATGTTCTCTACAACTAGGATACTGTCTTATCCTCAGAGTTATTAATAGCATAGTTGGGACAGCATATTTTGAATCTCTTAATGTGGATTTTGAAGTTTTCTTTTTTTTTTTTTTTTTTTTTTTTTTAATAGATGGCTTCCGGAAAGTTGTCCATGTTGATTCTGGGATTGTCAAACTGGAGCGAGATGGCCCAGTAGAATTTCGGCATGCATATTTTAGACAGGGCCGAGAGGACTTGTTGGAACACATTAAAAGGAAGGTTAGTGAAAACTCAGTATGTAGAAAACCTGTACTACTACGTGTCGATGAATAGCAAAGTTCATGACAAGTTTAACTGTCATGAGTGCAGGTAGTTTGGAGTTTATGGAAGCAAACTGCACTGCTTTCATTTATATCTTGATCCTGTTTAAACATATTTTGGGGGATTTGACTGGGCTTCTTTATTTAACCTATTTTGCTGTCATTATAGTAAGTTTCACAGGTGGCAAAAATGAGTGAGTTAGGCAAATATGACAATTTTCAAGAGAGTATTAGTACAGAGCATGCTTTGACTTTACCTAATCAGTAATAGAAGAAACTGCTTGTTTATGTAGCTTGTTTCAAAACGAAGCTACTGTAAGCATTAAACTCTCCACCAAAGAGAACAGGGGGCAAACCTATAAACGTGTTTGTTATGCTGCTAAATATGACTGAAATGTGCTCTACTGTTAATGTGAGTCAGGTGAATATAGATACCAAATGGAAATATGGCAAATTAAACTCTGGTGAAAGGGTGGATGTTGTGGTTTAACCCCAGTCAGCACCTCGACCCCACAGAGCTGCTTGGTTACTCCCCCTATGTCGGGATGTGGGTGAATCAGGAGAGTAAAAGTGAGAAGGCTCCTGGGTTGAGATAAAGGCAGTTCAGTAAGTAAAGCAAAAGCCACACACGCAAGCAAAACAAAATAAGGAATTCATTTACCACCTCCCATGGGTGGGCAGGTGTTCAACTATCCCCAGGAAAGCAGGGCTCCATCACGCATAACAGATACATTTGTCTTCACAAATGCTGTCAGTTCAAACACCCCTCCTTCCTTCTTTATCCTCCAGTTTTATATACGCAGCATGACACTATGTGGTATGGAGTATCCCTTTGGTCAGCTGGGGAAAACTGTCCCAGCCATGTGTGTGCCCTCCCAGTTTCTTGTGCAGCCCCAGCCAACTTGCTGGTGCAGTGGAGGGAGAAGCAGAAAAGGCCTTGACTCCATGTGTAAGCACTGCTCAGCAGTAACAAAAACAGCTCTGTATTGCCAGCACTGCAACATAACAGCACAAATCCAAAACACAGCCACATATTAGCTACTATAAAGAAAATTAACTACCCCAGCTAAAATCAGCACAGAGTGATGTACTTATGAACACCAGGTTATTGTGAAGCAGTTATAATGAAGTAGAGCACTTGGGAGAGCGCCTGAAGAATCTGAATGTACACAAATGTTTGTAACAGCAAAAGCTAATGTGATGACAGCTATGGTTCTGGTTTGGGGGTTTTTTTTGATGCTTGGTTTATTATTAACTTAAATGCGTAGTTTGTCAGCACTAGTAAGAAAATATATTTGATCACCCAAATAGAATATTAGTTAAGTATGAGTAAAGGGAAATGGTGTTTCTGGATTCTAATCTTTTAAAGGTTTCATCTTCGAGACCTGAAGAAAACAAGATACGTCAGGAAGATCTCTCCAAGATAATATGTAGTGCTCAAAAGGTGGAAATTAAACAAACGACTATTGAATCTCAGTTGTCTCTGTTGAAGAGGTAAGTTGCTGCATCAGTAACTGATCCCTAATGCTGAGTAATTCTGATACTAGATATTGGACAAAGATCTAATTTTAGGTGTCTCTTGATTTCTGATTACCTAAATTCAGTATTGCTTTGGGAACATAAATTTCAGTAGAAAAATTGCATTAAAAATTAACTATTCTGATATTGTTAAAAGTAATAGGCAATGTTGGTGTTTCCAGAACTGTCTAGTAGTGGGCAATTAAATAATACCTTTAGTTCCATAATGCTGCTGAGGCTGAATATTCAAATCAGCTCTTGGCATAAAGTATGCTGGTTTACGTCTTCAAGTTTGAAGTAGTTACTGTATTTAGTTTGAGGCAGAGTTTGGTTTGTGCAAAGTGCATATAATACTTTCTTATAACAGTTAACGTCTTTGGTTGTTGATTTTTGTTTTCTGATTGTTGTCTTTATTCCCCCACTGCTTAAAATTGCAGAAGAGTTAGTGCCTTGGAAAATGTATTTAGAAATCTAGTTTGGAAATTCATTTGTTGCATCAGTTACAAAAGGAACAGACTCTAAAATGCAAATGTAAATAGAGTATTTTTTGAGCATTTTTACCTAGTTAGTAATTATGATTTATTTTCAACAGTGAGAGAGACGTGTGTCACAAATTACTTAATCATTTAGAGTATGTAGATACAAACAAGATACATGACAATAAGCTCATGCACTGTAAGTCACATCACCTGAATAGGAACTCTCTCTCAGGGCACCTTAACTTATATTGAGAAAGTAAGTGATGGTGTATCCTCTGTGACAGAGATCACTGATTAGATAAAGTTTTAAGAAGTAAATTTTGTCATTTATAGTCTTCAGTTCTAGTTACTTGAGGGGTGGAACATTCAGAGGCAAACTTACTTGACCTAGAAAGAGTCTTTGTTAGAATCTGGCCAGTCTGGAGTAAAAATGCTCATATTTGCCCTTTGCAAATCCTAGATGAATTTGGGTTGAAATAACCTCAGAAGGCCATCAGGTCCAAATCTCTGCCCAGAGCAGGGCTGACTTTGACTGAAATGACATCCAGTTGAAAATGACCTGACAGTTTGTAGATGAGAACTTGGAATGGTTGTCTTTGACATCCATGATTTTGTCCCATCGGTTTAAAATAACTGAGGTAGAAACTGGGCTAAATCAGAAGACCTAGTCCTACAAAACATGTTAATAAAACTAGTGAGAAAGTTCAGAATCCCTAACTTGAGTTGTTAAATTTTTGATGGAACTGTACTCTGAAACTGTATGTTGGACATATGTTGGACATAGAAGCAGTTTGAGGAGTAATACCCTGCATCACACAGCACATGAACAGCTGTTTCTGAAAACTTAGCTTAAGATTTCCTAAAAACTGAACACCAGTGGGGTTTGTTTCTCTGTGTTGAAAATTAAACTGCAAAAGAGAGGAGAGTGGTACGTTGCCTTTCCTTATTCATTGGGGCTTTAATATGCAATATGCTGTTGGAAACAAACCTCTCGTGGTTACAATAGCACGGGCAGTTTTTACACTGTCTCAGTAACTGGCCTCCTGTGAGTACTGGAACAGCTAAGGTTTGTAAAATGGCAGTGTTTCATGAAAACTGCCACCTCTGACAAGCTCTGTCAGTTTTTAGCACCTAACATGCCCCTTTATTGGAGCTAATAGAGGCAACTATTTGAATGGCTGCGGTTGCATGTGTGACTTGAGAGCTTGTTCTGTACACACAAGCAAAGCGTGTGCAGAAACGTGCTTTGAAGACAGGCAGTTGCTGACAGGTGGCTTGCACCTAGCAAAAGGTGTGTGAGGGAGGACAAGCAGGCTGGATGTAGGCGAAGAACTCTGGTTTTTAGTGATGAGATGCATTCTTATGCTGTCCCTTGCTACCAGAAACCAACTGCATACTTGATTTTTTTTTTATTATTTTATTTCTAGAAGGAAGAAAAGATGGTAACTTTGTTTTTACAGGAAAGGAAACAAAATGGTTAATTTTTAAATGCTGAAAGTTAATTTTAAAATGCAGAATGTATAGCTAATAAATACTGCCAAATGTGAGGATGTTTTGTTTCTTCCATTTTAAAAGGGCTAGAAATTCTCTGCAGGCCATTTGTTGTCTTTGGGTCGCCATTTTGTAATTACTTTCCAAGGCTGCTGACTGTGTGACACTTCCACCCCACGCCCCAATCTAGAAACATTTTGAAGAGCTTTAATGAGGCCAACTAATCTTAAACAAAAATTAATATAAAAGTTTTAGAACTTTCATAACTTTGTTTTATAAAACAAAATTTTATAACTTTGACTTTTAAATCATCATTTTTAAACAGGGAGAATGAATCCCTTTGGAGGGAAGTGTCAGAACTGAGAACAAAACACTTGCAACAACAGCAAGTTATTCGAAAGGTAAGACTTCATTCAGGTGTTGTACTTGCATGAGGGAGTGCTCAGTTGTGCAGTCCTGTATTTGAAATTCACTGCTGTCCTACTTGACTGACCTGCTGACCTTGTATTTGTAATGTTAATTGTACATGTAATTTTTTCTGAATCTATCAAAAATGCCTTTCACCAGAACCGGTATTTACAGATACAGGTTACGTATATGATCCACATCTCTGTACGCCTTCTGTCATTGCTTATTAGAATTCTTCTAATCATTTGAGTTGCTGTGTGTCTTTCTGTGTACTGTAGAACATAGTGTAAAAGCTTACTCTTACCTCCTGCTATGTGTAAAGCCTTTCTTGGACAACTGAATAACTATTTTGTTGAGATATTACCAGCAGTGTTTTTACCATGATTTTTAACTTTTCTGAACAGCTCTATATAAAAGTTACTACACAAAATAAGTGTTTTGCTGTTTATGTATAGATTTTATTATTGAAGTCTTCTGCTATAATATAGGTTGATGCTCAAGAGAAACAGTTACAAAGTTAGTGATTAACAATAGTGTTCTTTCCCTTACAGATTGTACAATTCATTGTTACCTTGGTGCAGAATAACCAACTAGTGAGCCTAAAACGCAAGAGGTAGATATGATCTTGAAAACTTACTGTCTAGTCAGTAAACTGACATGCCTTGTTGACTAAAACCAAAGAATTGGTTTTGAGGTTGCTTTCTTCCTTTACTTTTTCTGATGTAGGCCTCTACTTTTGAACACTAATGGACCTACAAAGTCAAATGTATTTCAGAAAATTGTGAAAGAACCAGCTGACAGCAGCCACCATGTAAGTTTTCTGTTATGGATATGCTCTGTTATGATGAAGGAAGGAGTGCAGGGGGGCCAGATGGACCAAGTAGATTGTCTTACGGGAAATAAAACATGGCTGTGTACTGAGAGCTGTCAGCTTGTAGAAGTGGTATGTCGTATTCTGTTGATAATCACCATTCACTTTACAACATAAGCGTGTATAAACCAGTTGCCTGTGTATTAAATACAGCTTGACATGATCCTACTGAAAGCAGTTTGCATTTAATAATTGTGCTGTTAGAAATAGCACATACGTGTTGCATTGTTATCTCTGGGAGTGAGGCGCCCTTGGCCCCATACAGCGACAAGGGTCCAGTGTGTTGGTCTGCAAGGCAGCATCCAATGCAGCAAAATCATGTCATGTTTTTCCATTTGAATGAGTCATGCCACTGAAAGTTGTTTTCTGCTGTCCAAATAAAGATTGGTGGGGAAATCATCAAAATGAGTGCTATAGCATGGCATCAGAATTAGTAGCTTTGAAACAAAGTACTATTTAAACAGTAGTCACTGTTTTAATATTTTTATTTATTTTATTGTCCCATTTTTGCAACTTTTCTGTTGCATTTGCTGACAGTGCTAGTATATTTTTATTTCTGTGCCTGCAGTGTTTGCCAAACTTTCCTGTAGCTGGTATTCTCCATCTTGTTCATTTTACTTGTATGGCTTTTTTTATTAAACATAGATCTATACAAGCAACTTGTAATCTCAAAGGTGTAGGAAAGCTCTTAGACTTTTGTAGATTAGAAGCATTGTAAGATAAAATGATAACTGTCAAAATGCTGAAGCTCATCATCCTTCTGTCCCCTGACTCCTTTAAAAATAATTCTCAGGTACCTCTCAACAGAAATGAGGGCTTAAAACAAAGAGAACAGATTTCAGATGACATTGTTATTTACGATGTCACTGAGGATGTGGCTGATGAAGAAAATCCCATGGGTGATGAAGAAAATTTTCCTGTTACACCAGAAACAAATGAAGATACCACTTCAGATTCTTCCAAGTAAGAAGTCTGTAGAAGTGTACGTAGATAATGGCTTTCAGTGTTGTATAATACGCAATAATTCAGGTGTCGTAGGTAATTTGTTCTAATGAAGCGGTCAGAATTACTCAGCACTCCTGCACATACAGAAGCTTCATCTGTGAATTCGCACTAGCTTTAGATTTATTGACCTCTGGATTTATTCCAATTACTTAATTGGCTGTCGGAGTTGTAATATGTGGCAGGTACATCTAAACTGGTGAAAGCAATCTGTATTATTGCACTCTTTTTAAATATACTAGTTGTCCAAAGACAGAGTAAGTGGTGTTTTCTTACTTTTGGTTATGAATACAGACGGGAATAACTTCCCTTATTTTTACAGATTTTTGTGGAGAATAATTTGCATGTGTTGTTTTTCAGGTGTTGGTGTGGTCCTTAAACTTCATTAAGCCAATTAATTTCAGGGGGGTTTTTTTCAGTACCAAGTGTTTTGTGTGTTCCTTCTTGTTTGTACTCTAGTACTATAGAAGTAGTTCAAGTTGAAACTTGGTCCAGGGACTGAGGAGCAACTCTCTTCCTGAGTTACATTGGATTGATAGGGCCTGTATTATGCCTTAAGAAATAAAAGTTAGGTGTTTCTAGCTTACACTTGAACGGGTACCATTCTTCTTGCTCAGCTGATGTCTGGGAATGTATTCTCTGATAGAAAAGCTTTATGAGGATACAGCTGTGATAGAGAGGCAGCGTAACTAACAGCTACTTAAGGGTTAAGAACTGGAATGTGGATGAAAGCAAATTAGTTGAGGCTCGCTCTTGGTTTTCAGGAATGCTCTTGGTTTTCAGGTTTCATTCCTGGTATACGTAACAAGGTTAATAACAAACCTGTTGACTGAGATCCTTTATGTTTTGGATGCTCCAGAGTTGATTCTGTTCAACAGGAAATATGCAAAATATGTGTTGTCTGTCTAGTTTGATAGCCTTGTATGCTTTGGTCCACTTTGTACATACTTTATACGCGAACTTATAGTTATTCTAATGCAAAAAGCTATCCTATAGCTTTTTAGTAGTTGGTTATTGTGGTCTAGCATAACAGTGTGTGCTAGCTGAGCTGCATTAGCTGTATTGGGCATTACAGAACCATATCAATGGAAAATAGATACTGAGAGTATCTTTCCGTGTTTAGTACTAAAAAGCAGTAGGAAAGTTTATTTCCTTACAGTGGCTTGACTAAAGTGAGGAGTAACTAAACCTGTATAATTATACCAATTTAAGAGTGTATGAAATGCTCTAATTAATTTATCTTGTATTGCAGCTGTAGTTGTAGCTATCCTTCTCCCGATATTGTAATTGTGGAAGATGATAACGAAGATGAATACGCCCCTGTAATTCAAGGGGATAAAAGCACCGAATCAGTTGCTGTCCCAGGTAATGATCCAATCAGCCCTGTCAGTGACAGCACAAGCCCACTCATGTCAAGTGCTGTACAGCTGAATAACCAGTCAACTTTAACTGCAGAAGATCCAGTCTCAGTGATGGATTCCATACTCAGTGAAAATGGAGTAATTTCACAGAATATAAATCTTCTTGGAAAGTAAGTAGTCTGGGTTTTGGGTTTTTTCAAGTATTAGAACAGATTATTTGACTGAAGTAAAAAGAACTGAACAGTAGTTTCTGCAGAGAATGTTAAATTAATAACCCATTGTTATTCTAGCCAGTTTCTAAAGATCCTTCTATTTTAAGTATTTAAAGATGTGACCTCTGATTCTCATTGTGAAGCTCACATGAGTGAGTTGGGATGTGTAATCCAGCAGTGTAATATTGTGTATATCATTATTTAAACTGTCAAGATTTATTTGTGTCACTCCTCCAGGCGGATGGGACTCATTAGGGCTATGTGGGGTCAATGTCATGTCCTGTCATAGTGTTATGTTGATACAATACCTGCAATACCTGTTTCAGAGCACCCCTCTGCTTTACTTGGGTTCTCCTCTAGAGGCTAAAAGTTTTCATTTTTTTCCAGAGGTCATGTCTGATGAAAAAACTTAGTTCATTCTAGTTCTGGTAAAGATTTTTAGATGCATGTAGTACATCTGTGTAAAGCTTACTCGAGCATTTCTCTTACTTTGTTAAAGGATACAGCAGTAAAATACTGTTTGTCTTCTAGAGTTGAACTTCTGGATTATCTTGACAGTATCGACTGCAGTTTAGAGGACTTCCAGGCTATGTTATCGGGACGACAGTTCAGCATAGATCCAGATCTCCTGGTCGATGTAATTTTGACTGTTTATTTTAAATACTTGGGCAATAGGCATTAGAAAAGATTTGTGTGTATTGTTACTGTGAAGAATGGATTTAAAACACAACTGATATTTTTTCCTCTCTTCCCTTTACAAAGCTGAGCTACAAATATTTACTGATGTATGTTTCTTGAGCACTGGTATAATTCTTAGTGCTACACCACTGTTCAAATGAATGCATAAGTTTTTTATTGAAAAATGGCTTTATTAATGAACAAAATCATGCTTATATTTGTTGTGACATGAACTTAGACATCAAGTAGATGTCTAATACTCTTGCTTTGAAATAACCCAGCGCATCATCTGTGGTCTTCTCAATGAACTGGGGTTTAAAAGGCTCTTGGCATTTATTTTACAAGTTTCCCTGCAATTTCAGGTTTCTTCAGGTTTATGTTGAGTAGAATGGTCTGGGTTGGAGGGGACCTGTGCACGTCATCTAGTCCAGTCCCCTTTCTCAAAGCAGGGTCAGCTTGAAAGTTGAATCTTATTGCTCTGGACCTTGTTTACTCAAATTTCAAAATCTCCAAAGACAGGCTCTTGGGTGTCTGTTGAGGGCTTGACTCTTCTTAGTGAAACATTTCCTTATGTCAATCACAGTTTGCCCTGCTGCACTTCATCACTCTTGCCTCTTGTCCTTTGTCCATGTGGAGTTTGCCTTCTCGGTAACAGAGCAGTGGAAGAGGGCAATTATCCTCCCTCATTGGCCCTCTTCAGACAAGATTAGCCAGGCTTCCTGAGCCTCTTGCATGCCTTAAGCCTCCAGACATCTGTGGCCCGCCCTCTGGACACCCTCTAATTTAAAAACTCAGACTGGGAGGCCTAAAACTGGACACTCTTCCTCAAGTGGCCTCAGGTGCTGTGCAGAGAGAAATAATTGGTTCCAGCGACATCCTGGCTGTGCTGCCCGTAGCAGAGCTTCTCTCCCTGTAGCAAGGCCATGCTGCTGGCTGGTGGCAGTGTTGTCTACCACAACTCCCCTGTTCCGTCTCTGAGGAGCTACTCCCTGTCCATTAGTTCCTTAACCCTAACCTGGGCCAGTGCGTGAGGTTACTGGGTCCTGAAGACACATGGCTGTTGAACCTGGTGGAGTTCCTGTTGGCCCCCCTCCCACTTGGTTGAGATACCTCTTAATGGCAGCTCGGCTCTCCCACATACTGATGACTCCTTCTGGTTTGGTGTCACTTGGAAACTTGGGCAGGGTGTGTTTGTCCATATTGTAGACAGAATTATCCATGCAGCAAAGTAGGAAGAAATTGGTGTTTTAAAACTGCAGCAAACTGTGTTAGTTAGATGCAATATAGTTGTTTCCTTTGTGACTGAGCTTCATGGAATTGCAAACCATTGTGTGCCAAAGCTAGTTTTTCTTTGCAAAAGTTGTAACTACCTGTAAATAAACTCCAGTCCTCATAGAGCGTGGAATAAATACAGGGGTTATTTTCACACATGCAGATGCAATGGTCTTGTATTCTTAATAGCAGCATCAAGATACCTAAAACTTGATGTGTTTTGTCTCATTCAGCTTTTTACAAGCTCTGTGCAGATGAATCCCACAGATCATGATCATATCGCTAATACCAAAGTAAGTCTTAAATCTATTGCTCAATGTACACAGTAGTGACAGATGCAAACTTTTGCTCACCTTTTGCTGTTTTCTTTACTGGTATCATGGCACTTCATGCTCTGACTTTTAAGACTTCCATGAGAATAAGAAGACTACAGCTGATTTCATCCTGTTAGGCTTTAAACAGCAAAGGGGAAAAGGACAGTAATTAATAATGTCCTTTAAAACTTTTATTATCTTGAGGCCAATATCTCTACATTGTACCAGTCTCTTGACTTTGTATCCCCCAAGATTTTAGTACTTGCAAAGATGATACACACTTTGTCAGAATGGTTTCATCTGTATTGTCTGGTGGGAAGAGAAACACAAGAATAAGCAGATGTAGCTCTTTGAATTTGTCTTGTTCATTTACAAGCATTGGTTTTGGTTCTTGGTTTCTAGGCTATGTTTCCATTTCACATTTTCTCAGCCAAGGTCTGTTAGCAGGGATAATACTGATAATGCCACTGCAAACCTTCACAAATAAAAATTGTAGGGTTTTTTTAATAGTTGCTCAGCTGTGTTCCAGTGGCATTGGTACAGGCTTTAAGCATGTGTTAAAGAGTTTGCTTTTGTTCCCAGACAGAGACAAAGGGAAAAGAAACTAACAAGAATAATGCTGGTCCAGCAGCTTCACAGGAAACACAAGCTACTAAGCCCAGATCAGGTTAGTTGTGGTGATTTGTTGAAATACTTAAACAGTTGAACATGCATTGTTCTAAAAGCCATCTTGGTTATTTGCTCTTTTTCTGGTTTTATGTTATGCCTATGAACAAATAACCAAAACAAATACTTGGTATATTTGACTTAGGTTTTTGGCACTGCACCAGATGTAGAGAAATTGATGTTTTGCGGGAGAATCTACACAACGTTATATATGCATGTAACAATTCTATAAAAACACATTTGAAACAGACACCTATAATGGTTTTTTATTAATTATTCTCTAAATAAGTGCTGTGGGTTGGATATTGTTTTTTCGTTCTGCATGTAGAAAGGTGTGTGAACTGATGTTCTGGGCATTTTTTCCCCCTTAGATAAGCAGCTGATACATTACACTGCATTTCCACTCCTTGCATTCCTCGATGGGAACCCAGGCTCCACTGTTGAGAGTGGGAGCTTCACAGCTGAAACTCCTTCCACTGTTGACAAGTCCCTGGAAGGCGATGAGCTCCTGGAGAGCAGCCTGGATCCTGAGCCCACCCAGAGCAAACTGGTGCGTCTGGAGCCACTGACAGAGGCAGAGGCAAGTGAAGCCACGCTGTTCTACCTATGCGAACTTGCTCCAGTGCCCATGGACACAGATATGTCGTTTTTGGATAACTGATGCGAGGGGGACTCTGTATATAGTCATGAAGATGAACTATTTATTTAGAATATTGTTTGGTATGAGAGTTTTTTGTAAATCACTGTTTTATGTAACCAGGTATGTGGAATCTAAAGTACCTTTCCTATCCTCCTACAAGCAATTGTTTAGTTACACTGTTAGACAAGCCACCAGGCACGGCTGGCAGTACTAGTCAGAGTGCTGCTGCACTGCTGTGAACACTTGTGTTGCACACATTGCTAAGTACCCAACACTGGTAAGTAGTAAGCTTTCATTTATGGTTTCTTATACTTCTGGTCTTATATATGATGACATAAACTAGTAGTGTATGGTTAGGGAACACCTACTTTCTGTATTTTGGGTTTTTTATTTTTTACAGCATTTTGTCTAACACATGAAGCTTTTTTGGGGTGGGGGGACCAGGACCTGATGTAGGCTTTTTTTTTCCCTGCTTGAACTGGGAACAAAGTGCCTGTACCTTGCTAAATCTTGGTTCTGCCTTACTTTCACTTCAGTGGAAGTGCTCACAGATAGCACAAACTGGGGAAAAGTTCTTGACAGCCACCAGGCCCCATGACTGCATGAGTACTTTTAACTTGGACCATTTATGCTGATAAAATAAATGTTACTTAAGTGTGATACTAGTTAAGAGTTTGTCTCTTATTCCGTGTGCCAGATGGGTGTGGCTTTGACAGCCTCATATTTTCGTATGTAGCTGTGCAAGGAGGTCTGCTTCTGTGCACAATTTTTGGAAAACACTTTATATCCAAACTTTATGGTTTATAATAAAGCGTCCAAAATAAGTGCTTAACGCAGCAAACTGTTTTCCAGTAATAGTACACAACTGGGTGTTTTTCGTCTTGATTTCTTACTGAGAACTGCAGCAGAGCCCCATGGCTTTCCTTCCAGTGGAGGAGCCGCTACACCTCTCAAAGGTGTGTCCATTGCTGCATTCACTGAAGCCTGTCACAGCTGCTGAAGTGAATTTCTGTAGTTGTGTTACAGAGACAGAGGGGTTTGAAGGGGCAGCTGACACACTCATGGCACCCTGAGCTCCTGATCTCATATAAACAGTAAGTCAAAATAAAGTGAAGAACTGCTGTAGTAGAATGAGTGTTCAGGTGTTATACCAAATTTGAACAGGTGCAATCCAATGCAGCAGCAGCAGCAGCTGATGAAGCAGGAATGCAGTCGGAGGTGCAAGGCATGGCTGCACAGGGCACAAACAGCTGTCAGAGAACTTCACCCAGGAGGTTGCACATGATCTCCCCAGTTGCTGGGGACTCGCTGCCCTAACAGGTGTGCTCTGCAGCACTGTCAGCTGCTACTGTTCGGAATCTCAGAAGAGGGGATGAAAATATAACACAAAATTTTGCATTAGCCACATATGGCTGCAGTATGAGACATCAAAAGTCATGGAACATCTTCATCCAAATTTATTTATTAATAAGGTAACAACATATTCCAAATTATTACGAGCCTTTACTACTCTTTCCATTATCATCTCAAGTTTGACTGACATGTCAGACTTTTGCAGTAAATGTCAGTGTTCAGTGCAGAATTAAAATAAAAGCTTAGAGAACAGCAACAGGAAGTCACAGTTACAAACACCACAGTAAGAGATGAGCATGACATCTGCTGCAGGCTCCAGGGTCACTCCCAGTCAGGCTGCTTTAGTCTCAAGTTGTAACAAGTAATAGAGAGAAATAATGCGGCTTAAATACTTCCGTTACAAAGCAGCAAGCACAAAAGCATTTAAGATTTCGTAACTGCACAGGAACTATAATATTGTAATCAAACAGATTAATGTCTTAACTCATGCCTAGAGTTAGACTTCCTAGGCTCAAATCCATCTCTGGTAATGGACAACAAGCAAAATACTTAATACAGTAAAAGATTTCAAGATTTAGAGCCGCAAATATTTTAAGAAACTCTTTAGCTGAAGCCTCAGTAAATGCAAACCCCCTCCTTTAGTTACTGTAATTTCAGTGCTCCTTTTCTTCCACTTCTTTTAATCACAATACTTAAAAAATTCCTGTAAAGGGTTTACACAGCTTTCAGCACTCAGCTCCTTGCAAAGTCTGTGATTGTAGCTTAGCAAAGAAGAAAGTGGCACACAGAACAGCAATAAATTACAGCACAGCTATCCCATATAAACTACTTTAAAAAAATAATAATACATAAATGCGCATTGTAAACAGGTGCCTCAAAAACATGCTTCTGAGCATCTGCTACGAGGATGTTTTTCCCCAGGGTGCCTGTCCTCCTGTCTGCAATGGGACACATCAGACCCAGCAGCACCATGGAGGACACTGGCTCCTCTGAAGCTCCAGGTGCAAGTTTCCCCATCACATCTGTGCTAAAGCTACTGCTGCCCTCGGCATGGCAAAGGTCAGGCTGTTAGTGCCTAAGTGCTGCGAGATGTCCAGTAAACTCCACTGTGCTCCATTTTGAGTCTAACAATGCTTACTCAAGGCTTACTTTGGAATCAAGGCAACAGGGATCATCAAAGGCAGCCCCTCCTTTACTTGCAAAGCCTGACCTAGCACTGTTTAGTTACCCTAATTAACACTTGCACTTTTTTTCCTACAACTATTTAATGCAACTGAGGGGAGAAAACATAATAGTTCTCAATCTTACATCTTGTGCTCCCAAAGCCACATATCTCAATCTAGGAGTAATCCCATGAAAACCATCATTACAGCAATTATTATTGAGCTCAGCTAGAAAAAGTCATTTAGTGAAATGACAGAAGACATGGTTCAAGGTAATCATGCAGAATAAAGCAGGGTATACTACATGGACAGCACACGCACACACACACGTATTTACAACTGCACTATTATCCAGAATACTGTTTGTTTCAAAGACACGGTGAAGCTGACACAGCCCCCCTGGAGAGCAGCACAGCTTAGTCAAAGTCACGGTTTGTAAGAACCAGCGGAGCAACCAGAGTCCACACATACAGCACGATGCCAATCCAGCTGGAAGATATCTTCACCCAGACAGACGGCCACTTGCTGGTCATTGTCTCATAAGTAGAATCCGGACTGTGAATAAAGGGAAAGAAAAAAGGTAATTTGCAACTTTTCTTTCAATACAACATACTTGTGTACTAAGCCACCCTTCCACACTCTTTTCAAAGTATATCATTTTTACTTCACACCTCAGAGGACATTTGTACCCTTCTTCCAGCCAGTTCACACCAGTCTGTACAAGAACAACATTTGTTAAGTTGGTGTCACAGGAAAGTGGAAAACAACAACAGCACCAAAAACAATTTACTAAGAGAAGCTGTCAAGAAGCAGAAATGATTACAAGGAATCTCTAAGCAAATCTGCAGAAAGGCAGTAAATGGATAGCACTCAGAGAGACAAATAATGTATTTTACCTTTCCAAAAGACAACACCTAGAAAAATTAATCATGCTGATGTCATACTGACCCAAGGGCCCATACCACCAGGCCCTCTCACAGAATAGCTGAGGTTGGAAGAGATCTCTAAAAGTTCTCCGGTCCAACACCCCTATTCCAGCAGGGACATCTAAAGCCAGCTGCCCCAGATGGCTTTTAAGTACCTCCAAGGATGGAGACTCCACGAACCTCCCCAGGCAACCTGTGCCAATGCTAAGTAGCCCTTGCAATGAAAAAAGTGTTTCCTGATGTTCAGAGGGAACCTCCCATGTTTCAGTTTGTGCCCTTTGTCTCTGTCCTGTCACTGGGCATCACTGAAAAGACCCAGCTCCATCCTCTTTACACTCTCTCTTCAGGTATTCATATACATTGATAAGACACCCTGAGCTTCCTTTTGGCCAGGCTGAACAGTCCCAGCTCTCAGCCTCTCCTCATATGACACATTACAGTCCTTTCATCATCTCTGTGGTCCTTTGCTGTTCTCTCTCCAGTATGTCCATGTCTCTCTTGTACTGGGAAGCCCAGAACTGGACCCAGCACTCCAGATGCGGAGTCACCAGCGCTGAGTAGATGGGAAGGAACACCTCTCCCTTGACCTATTGATATAACATGTCCTATTTCTCCTTTTTCTAGCTTTCTGTACCAGACACGGGCCTAGTGTTTACTAATTTTTAGTTGTTATAGAAGTTAAGTCTTTAGGCTGTTCATTTCATCAGGACATATTTCAGCAGTCCAGTGAATCACAAGAATTATCCTAGAAAATACAACAGGCACTTGGGAAAACAAGGTTGGCTGCACTTAATTTTCAAATACAATTCACTAAATATAGCTCAAACAGCATACGTCCCTTGAGAAGTCCCATTCAAGACCTACATTCCAGAGCACACAACCTGTGTCTCCTTGTCCAGCAAAAGATGGCATCTTGTATGCTCATTATTAAGCACAACATATTATCAAATGTAAATACCTGTACCAGTTGGTAAGTGTCATCATAATATACAGTGATGCCAGGAAAAGCATGAAGTGAAAGAAGGAGTAACTGTAAGTAACTCCATCTCTTTCATTATCTATGGCTCGGTGAACATCATCTCCATCATCAAGGGAGCCATCACTCCTGGGCATTCCATCTTCTATCAGTGTTGATTCATCACTGGTCAGCATCAGTTTGTTAACTTGGCTGTTGTTGGATGTTCGGATGCTGTATTTAACAGGAAAGGACACAGTACAGTTACCCAAATAAACACAATTTAGTATCCTACAACAAGAAGTAATACAAGTTAATAGATTATTTTTTTAAAGGAATCTTACCTTGAATAGAGAACACATAGCAAAAACAAAACCAGTCCTACAATTCCTTGTGCATCCCACCACTGCACCACCTGACCTTGGGTTGGAGTGCTGGTGCTGTTGTAACCAATGATGCTCAGCAAACTTGGGTTACAGCGCCTATCTGTGAGGGAAATTGCATTAGAACTTACATAAAACAAGACAAATATTTAATAGCACATTTCTATGCTGAACGCATGGAAATAGAAAAGAACTTCATAACTGTGACAGTCTTGAATTAAAAAAGCTTTGAATCTAATTTTAGCCTATCGAGTCTCCCTAAACCAGGGAAATGACAGTATGCAGCATAAAAACCTGTCTCTAAGCAGATAAAAGGATTTTAAACTTACATAAGATATGCATCAAATGCTTTACTGTTCCATCTCATAACTAGATGCAACAAAATTAAAATATCTGCATATTAAGCTTTAGAAATTCTACCACTAGAAAGCAAGTATGACAAACATATATTCTACAGATAGGGTGCCAGAGTCATCTCAGAGTTGGAGAACAATGCTAATAAGTTGGTTTCGTATTATCAGCGGTTCCCAACCCGCAGCATCCACAGGTAATACCGATTAAACAGCTGAAAGTAGCAGACAATCTTATTTCCCCATAATCACTGCCGGGATTTGATATAACTCATGTATGCTGTGACACAGAAGCACAGAAGATTGTCCATAGTTAAGATAAAAGGGTCAGAGATCCAATTAAAACCACCAAAATCAATATTTTAAAATTTATTTTAATCACCAGAATTTCTGAATTAATTTATTTATCTTTAGAGATGCTCAGCTGTTTTCAGACACAATAAACATTGACAACATTTATTTAAACTTGTTTTAAATCCTCAGTTTGGAAAAATAAAATCAGTAGCATCTCAGTCATCTAAGAAACATGAAACTT